TCAGTTATTTGGAGACATAGAGGTAAGCCAAATCAGTGTCTGGCTGTATAGTTAGATTTGTGGGAACATAGGGGTTAAATAATTTATGTAAATTGTGTCACATTCATATTGCAATTATGTATGTGGAAAGAAGATAGGAAGTTTTATTAGAATTTTTTTCATCTCCTAACGCTGTAAGTATACATTCTTTGTGTTTTAATTAAAAATATATTTGCATTAGTTTCTGAAAGTGAGGGAGCAGGTATATGCACACAAACAATACACAGGAACATCTTTTGAGAGTAATTAAGTTGAAAACAAAAATGAAATAACACAAGATGAACAGAGCTCCTTTATATTTTAAGAGGCAGGCCAGGTGCGGTGGCTCACGCCTGTAATCCTAGCAATCTGGGAGGCCGAGGTGGGAGGATCGCTCAAAGTCAGGAGTTCGAAACCAGCCTGAGCAAGAGCGAGACCCCATCTCTACTATAAATAGAAAGAAATTAGTTGGCCAACTAATATATATAGAAAAAATTAGCCGGGCATGGTGGCACATGCCTGTAGTCCCAGCTACTCTGGAGGCTGAGGCAGAAGGATTGCTTGAGCCCAGGAGTTTGAGGTTGCTGTGAGCCACGGCACTCTAGCAGTGGCAACAGAATAAGACTCTGTCTCAAAAAAAAAAAGGGCATTTGTCCAGAGAAATTGCACAGGAGCATGTGATGATTATCAATAAGTTATACTACATGAAATATTTGTGCTATATTAACACATGCAGTTTATTTTAAATGCCATCCTACTAGTGCTAAAGTAGATCTTGTATAGTAAAATTGGTTAGAAGGATAAATATAACCATTTTAATAAACCTACATTTTTTCCTCAGGAATTTTAGAGACAAATACTTAAATGTGAATTTTAATGTACGATTTGTTCTAAATAAAGTATTAATATGTATGTGCAGCTTTTGCTACCAAATATTTTCTATAAAGATACTTGACTCTTTAATATTGAAATACAGGATAAGTGTCTACATTTTGTTCTTCTATCCACTAGGTTTTATTTGTTTCTTTTATGTTTTCTATGAAACTAAATGAGCACTGAAGGTCAGCAGACTTATAGGAGGGTAATATTGATTCACATATCACTCAGCAACCTTCAGTCTTATAACTTTGATAGTTTTTATATGGTAAAATTAATCTAAAATTGAAATTTTAGTTTAATTCAGAAGGTTCTGTTTGGCAGGGGTCATGGGTGTATCTATGTTTATCTGTACTTGAGATTCACAAATGCCAAAGATGTTCTGAGATTCAATAAAGTGAATATTTCTGCATGATGCATGATGAAATGTATCATGTTTGATCTTTCATAATTTGAAATCTTTTATTTTGTATGCTCTTATGTGTCTCATATATCCAACCTATATTTTAGTTAGAATGATAATAACTTCTTACTCTAGAGAACTTATATTTTTAAAACATTGCTGGTCCATTTTAAAAGATTTTTATAAATTGATCCTGTTTTTAATGGCCTTGGTAATGGCCTGACAATAATGTCAGGTGCCCATTTGTATTCTTTTAAGAGTATGCACAAATGATAATCAGTCTGTAGATTTTAAGTGCATCTTTATTCTTTATTTTTAACACTTTCTCAAACATAGGATTTGCTTCAAAGAAACCTGTAAGTTGTGGAAACAAACACTCCCTTGGTAAAGAACACTATGCTCCTATACCTCTACCACCTGGTGCATCTGGTTTCTTGCCGTGGCGTACTGCAGAACGTGCAAAAAGGAACAGGTATTTTTTAGTCATTCAGAATTCTTTATTTTGGAGCTTCTGTAATGTGGGAGTTCTCTTGGTTGTTTCTGTAGGGGGAAAAATGACTCACACATGGCTTCTGCTTCATGAGGCCTTTAAGGAAGAAAAGCAAAAAATGATTATAATTAGGGGTTTCAAGTTATTTCTTAAGTGCCACAGCATGTTGTAGCCCTGTGGGAATCCAGAGTAAACTAAAATTATCTTCAGTGTGCAGGTGAGAAAAGGTTTCATTTAAAGCATATATAGTTAAACCAAGCCCTATAGCACAGAAGTAGGAATTTGGATATGTAGGAATGGGAAAGGGGCATTTTAAATAGGAAATAGTTTAGTGCAAAATGGATGAGACACATAGATTAGACTTAATCTAACTCAATCAGCTGGCCTAATTCTTATTTTAGTGAATCATATTTAGGGAATCAAACTAGCTTTAACTAGTTTTAGCCAATTACTTACCCAGGGAATGGCTGGTCATAGTTATTTTTGTCAAAAAAGTCTTGTAAAATTGTTATATTATAATTTTAGGCTTGTTAAGTGAATTAGATTACTGTAGATTATTTTCAAGTGAATGACCTGGTAGTATTCAAGAAATTGGGGACTAACAATTGCTTAGGAAAGCAAAGAGTATTGATTTTAAATAGGACTTTGGAAATAGGTACTATATAAAATATCTCTTTAATTGCTTACATTAAATCAGTGTGTATAATCTTCATTAGGCAAGTGACCACTAAACTTTTCACAAATGGTAATGTGAACTATTATTGCATAAACTGTAATGCTGAGTCCCCAATCTTTACGCATTAATTTTATAACTTTGTGGTTTCATATCTTCTTCTTGAGACACTTACTAATCTTATCCTAGTTATAAGGAGTTGTAAATTACAGAACAATTAATATCACCAGTTAAAGAAGTTAGACTGGAAATCACAACTATCCTGAATGTAGGAACAGAATGTGTTCTGATCTTGGAAGATCAGAGTTGTCACAAAGATGTTCTGCTAAGTTCTGTTCAATTTTCTCCATAGCAGAGCCTTCCAGATCATTATTTTGATGTTATTTCCATACACAGTTCTATATAGATAGTATACTATAGATAGTATACTAATAAGTGTTATTACCTGGTGTTACTTGGTGTTGTGTTTACATCAAAATATAACTTAATTTATTGATATCTCTTTAGGGGGTTTCCATTGATCAAAACTCGTGATATACATAATCAGTTGCAGGTATGTAGTTATCATATGTATATGTAGGGGGTTGCAGTGGGAAAGAGGTGAAGATCATTCTCAGTGCTTTTAAAACTGAACAGAGCCTTATAGAAAACATTTTCCTCCCTGAAGTAAATCCATTTAAAAATTTCCAGGTTGCTCTCCCATTACTATGGTACAATTTTGTGGGTATGTCACACGCTGGGGGCCTTGTGGTTTCATCTGTAGAGAGGGAAGCCATTTCTTCCATGAATCAGCTGTTGCCCAGTAACACAGAGCTATCATAGTCAAGAATGTTCTTAAAAATTTTCAAGAAATGTTTTTTGGGGGAGATACACACACACACATATACACACATAAATATATATATGTATATATACCAGATTCTAAAGCCAAAACAAAGCAACCAATCCGAAAGCCTTTGCTTTTTCAGAGCTTTTCTTCTTCCTTTACCAGGATCACACACATTTCCTGTCATACTGCCTCACAGTGTTGGAGCAAGCTAATTCTGTCAAGAGTATTAGGTTCTCCTTCCCCATTGTCCTGGGAGACTCTTTGGTTTCTCTGTGAAAGATAGCAGTACTCATATTAGAGAGGAGCACCCTGTGTGTCCATACTGCCCCTTGCATGCCCTGCTGCTTGTGGTAGAAATTATACCTTAGTGACTGACTGTCTTCTGTACAATTATGTAATTCCAGCACTCTTCTTTTAGATCAGTAGACTTTTTATAGGATTGTGACCAGATCAATTTTTAAACGTTTGGAAACATCATATTGAACAACATTCCATTGGCAGTGAAACTTGACATGAGAATTGTATTGTTATTATACTAGTTTTGGCTTCAGGGTAAAGAAAAGATGAGGTTTTTGATGTGTAAGTTTTAGTTGTATGTGTACATATGTATATGATTTATTAAAAAACCATTCTAGTTTTTATTGTTTACAGTTTAGCTATATGGACTTTTTAATTATTGTTCTGATTCTTATTTTCCTCCTAAAAATTATACTTTCTTCCAGGCTCTTTGTATCTGAGGGTGGAGAATAAATTTCCCATCTGCAGTGTAAAGTTGATCTGAGAAAAAATGTTTACCCTCACCTCTCACTTGATTTATGTGAAAGAAATTTAATAAAATAACATGAGCAATTATAAATATTAATCATAATCATGTATGACAGAATTCTATAAATGTAGCGAGAATAAATGTCTTTTTACTTTGTTATTGATTATTTTAGGCTAAGGAGTACTGAAAGACATTGATAGACAATGAATTAATACTTCAGAAAGATCACTTCAATTAGATTTCTTTAATATTTGGTATTTTGTGTATATTATTACTTATACAATCTTGTCCTCATTAAGCAACCAGGTTTTCCTGTGACTGTGACAGTAGAGAGTCCTTCATCCTCAGAAATCGAAGAGGTTGATGATTCTTCAGAAAGTGTTCATGAAGTGCCTGAGAAAACCAGTTTAAAACAAGAAGCATTACAGGTACAAAGCTGTCACTTTAAAAATATGAAAAATATTATTTCAAACTGTATTTAGTATCTGACAGTGGCTTGATTACAAATCAGTGCTGGACAGCTTGCATGGGGATTCTGTTTTCCTCTCCTTTCTATCTTATATACCTTTGAATGTTTCCTTGTCTTAGAACAAGGTGACAGGAGGACATTTGAACCCTAAGAAATAAAAATCAAAACATGTCAACAGTAGTATATTTCATTTTTTTAGAATCATAAAATATTAGGTTTAAGGAAAGCCTTAATTATCTTAAGATACACTCAAAGAAATTGAGTAGTAAATAAATGTAGTCATCTGATTCAGGGTTCTTATATTACAGATCAGGAAATTGATGGTTCTAGCTGAACTCTCTTTTTTAAAAATTATATTTACATATACATATTCATATATATATACAGATATAGACATATATATGAGAATCTTTTTTTTAGAGACAAGGTCATGCTGTTGCCCAGGCTGGTCTGGAACTCCCGGGCTCAACAATCCTCCCACCTCAGCCTCCCACATAGATGTAATAACTTCAAGTGCTCATTATCACACCTACTTAAATTCCTTTTTATAAGAGGAAGATATAACTTTGTTTTTAATCAAAAGAGAATTGAAAAAAAGTTTTAATATCGATATTCTCCTTTCATAAAAGAAAGAATTTTAAGGAGCTTCATTATATTGCTTAATGAACCTGACATCTAAAGTCATTCCGTCAAAGACTGAAAAAGGTTAAAAATAAAATAAAAAAAAAAAAAATAAAGTCATTCCGTACTTCTGTGAATACACAGAAAAGAAAAATCAAAAATACTGTATTTTATTTTATTTCAACTTTAATGCATAGACGATAAATTGTAGTAAGGGAAATACCATTTTGGGAGGCCTTGTTTTTTTTGTATGTACTACAAAATTCACGTTTAATTTTTAAAAATACATCTTTCTTTTAGTATGAAACTTACAAATATAGCAATAGTTATCCCCTTTCTTTTTTTCAAGTGAGAGGGCTTGTAAAGAACATAAATTTATTTCTCATAGTTCTGGAGACAGGAGAATCTAAGATGAAGGCTCTAGCAGAATTGGAGTCTGATGAGGGCCTGCTTTCTGGTTCATAGATGGCACCTTCTTGCTGTGTGATTACATGGTCTAAGGGCAGTTATCTTATTTTTATATGACTGTGGGTATCACTATCTGATTTTCAAAAAAGAAAGCCAGATTTTCATTTTTTAATTAAAATTAATGATATTTATGTAGTGAAATTTTAAGATAAGTACTTACAATATTATAAAATGTTAGGGAGGAATCTGTAGACCATGTAGAATTACCCCTTTCATCTTCTAAATGAGCAGTTACAGTTTATAGCACCTAAGTGGTTTATTACTAAGTTGCAGAGTAAAGACAAATGCTAAATCATCTGATCTGCATTCATTGTCTTTTAATGTGTTGTATTCACTTCTTTCACCAGGGAACTAGGAGATTATATTTCTAAAAGTGATGATACCATTGGGAAGACAAGAAGGTTAGGAACTGTAACTAAGAAATTTTCTGATTCAAGATACACTGAGAACATTCTCAGCTCTTCTCCATTTTGAGAACCCCATAAAAGGATGGTTCAAAATATTTTTAAATATATAAACCCATAGCAATCAAGAAAACAGAAGAAATTTCTACATATTTTGAAATACAGAAGACAAGTGTAAGAATATGAAACGGAATCAGTAGAACAGGGTGGCCTATAGCTTAGAGTGAATCTAATCTCCCTGCAGGAACAGCTCTATGTTCAAATGTGCCTGTAGGAGAGAGGATGGAATTAGAAATGCGACTGAAGTAGAGGGAGCTTTATCGGCAGTTTTTATAAGGAAGAGTTGACTCCTGCCACTCCCCCTTATCCCTGGAATGAGATAATTGACTTTGAAAAGCAGTAAACTATCAGGGGAAAATTAGGGTAGCTACTGTGGATTTTGTCCCTTAGAAGAGGGTAGTTGAGAATATCCTGCCATAACTGGCTGCCCACTTCTTCATGCGTAAGAGAAGCCAGTCATCGGCTTCCACTGAGCTTCTGCTGTCTTATTCTTTTTTTTTTTTTTTGAGACAGAGTCTGCTTGTTGCCAGGCTAGAGTGAGTGCCGTGGCGTCAGCCTAGCTCACAGCAACCTCAAACTCCTGGGCTCAAGCGATCCTCCTGCCTCAGCCTCCCGAGTAGCTGGGACTACAGGCATGCACCACCATGCCGGCTAATTTTATATATATATACATTAGTTGGCCATTAATTTCTTTCTATTTATAGTGAGACGGGTCTGCTCTTGCTCAGGCTGGTTTCGAACTCCTGACCTCGAGCAATCCCCCGCCTCGCCTCCCAGAGTGCTAGGATTACAGGCGTGAGCCACCGCGTCCGGCTGTCTTATTCTTAAATAGAAAATAACCATGGTTTACTTGATAGTTGAGTAAAACCCACAACATGACAAGGAAAAAAAAGATTAAAAATAGATCCTGGTAGAATCACAGATAATTAAGAGAACAAAAGTACTTTAAGAAAAAACTCTACTTAGCATCCTTAGAGAACTTTAAAAAGATACAGTGTCTGTAAAATAAGAATAGGATATTGTTTAAAAAGGAATTACCAGAAAGCAAAAATGATCTCTTGGAAATTAAAGTATGATTGTTGAAATAAATTCAGTAGAAATTAAGGAAATTACTCCGTAGATAGAAAGAAATGGAAAATATGACAGATGATACGGTATAGAGGCTACATCTAGGTGGTCTAGCATGTTACTAGCAGAAATCTCAGGACAGAAAAAAAAAATGGATGGAAAAAAATTATCAAAAAAAAAAATTTCCCTTTGCTGAATGTAAACATCAGACCTCAAATTGAAAAGGGCTATCCAGGTATTAAGAAAGATGAATGAAAATAGATGCATATAAATAGATACTCTTCATTGTGAAATTTCAAGATAATGAGAAAAGAGGTAAGTTCCAGAGAGAAAAATACTGGCTACCTAAAAAAGAATAAAAATCAGACTTTATCATACTTCTCATCAACTACCATGGATCCTGGAAGGTTTTAGAAAGATACCTCCAAAGTTTTAAAGGCAAATAAATTTCAACCTAGGGTTTCACATTTAGTCAGTCAGTCATAAGTGGGGGCTGAATAGTATACTTTGTACGTAACCAAATTTGAAAGTTTACCACCTATGCTACAACTTTTCTTGTTATTTGAAAACATAATCCTACAAAACGGGGGAATAAACCAAGAAGGAAGATGATAGGTATTCAGGGATCAGTGGATTCAATGCAGAGAGCAACCCATCTAGATTTGAGAGGCTTGCATTGATTGTGTGATTGAGAGCTTTAAAAAACCTGGAGGGATATTACTGGGTATTAGATACTGTTAGAAGGGAGGAGAGAAGAGAGGTCGAGACAAGAGGGAAAGGAGGGAATCAACTCCGAGGGAAGAAAGTTCTGTGGGTACAAACATAAAGCAAATTAAATATGGCAATTTTTTGAGCTGCCACTGGTGTACAAAAGGGAGGAATCCACTGAATTTTCCCCCTTTTCAGTGGCACAGTAGTAGAACTACTATTTAATTCATTGAACAAAGCGA